GGGTCACTGTCACCACCACCAGATGGACTTTGGACTTCCTAGCCTCAGAAACTGTAAGCAATAAATGTCATTTTCTTTATAAGTTCCAAGTATTTTGTTATAAGCAACACAAAATGGACTAATACACTAGTGTTCTAGACTTCTCACACTTCCTCAGACCTATGTATTCCCTTCTCCTTGAATACTTTTTCTGGTTAATTCCTATTTATCTCTCAGATCTCATCTCAAATGCCACCTCCTCAGGGACACCTTCTTCGCTATATATCTACACCCATGTATCTACTCCCACAGCTACAAATTTTAATAGCTCCCTTTATTTTTCACATATCTCTTTTCCTGATTTGTATTTATACATTTATTATTGCAAGTATTTTATCACCATCACTCCCACTAAAATGTAAGCCTCCTGTACCTTTGTGCATCACCACTGTATCCTCAAGAACCTAGTCAAGTGCAGCACACAACAGCTGCTTAATAAATAATTTTTGAATAAATTAATAAAGCTGGTTAGACCACAAAGGGCCTTGAACACCAGGTTGGGCAGTTTGGGAAATATATTCATACAAACTTGTACACAAGCCCCCAAAACATTCAACCCTGTGTGTCGGTATTGAGAAGTGCACACAAGCCTTTGTGAGCTGGGGTTTCCACATGTACATGCTTTGCTAAAAACATGTCCTAGCCAAGACCTGCAGCAGGCAGAGCACTGAGTATGAAACAGATCAAATTCTATTACTGATCTTCAGGCGTGGTGAAGTAGATTTGCCTCCCTGCCCAGAGAATGATGTGCCTCCAAAATCAATCAACCAAAAACTTCTTAATCTCGTTATATTTATTAATTCATTTACTCTTTCAGAAAATACCATGTGTGCAAGTTCAGTATATCTTAGAGATGAAGCCTGGGATCCTCTAGTCTGCTCAAGCCAACAGCAGGCCATCTTCCAGCTGCTGGACCCTGTGGCAATGAAAGGAATTATACTGGTCCAGAGCAGTGCAGCTGTGCCCTAAGCCAAAGGCTCCATGCTCCTGGCCCACCACAGCCAGCAAGAGCTCTGCTGCCATACAAATGAAGCATTTCCACATGAGTTTTCAGCCAGATCCTCAGTGGAACTGCCCTGGGAAGTCTTAGTCCACTCTCACAGAGCAAAACTGAGCACACTTTAGCATCTCCACTTCACCCACAGACACCCTCTATCACTGCGCCTCTCTTACACGCTGTTTGTTTACAGGTGTGATGTACGGCTCACTAGTCTTCAATGAGCTCTTAGAGTAAGGGGTGCCTCCTTTCATATCCTCCGTGTGTGGCACAAGTAATTACAAAATAACTGTTTATGAATCAATGAATAATAACCAATTCTCAGACTGTATTTTCTGAACTGTAATTGTTGTTCAATAAATATATGAATAAACGAATTAATGGAAATACTAGTTTTCAAATGTTTTGTTAAGCAGTAGAATCCTTTTCAACCAAAATATTGCAAGGGACCCTAGAACATCTGACAGATTAAAAAAACATTTACTCTGGATGAAGCCCCACCCTCTCCCTCTCTGCCTCACCCACCAGGACCCCTTCCAATCCCCTAGGCTTTTACAGGAACGAGAATGACTGAACTACAGATATAATTAACAACGTACAGGAACCTCACAAATATATTGCTATGGGAAGAAGCCAGATACAAAAGAATGCATATTACATAATTCCATTTACATCAAGTTCAAAACCAGGCAGAACTAAGCAATAGAGGTAACAGTGATCAGAACAGTGGTTATCTTTGGGGGAGAAGTTCTGAGAGCACAAAGGGGGGCTTCTACGGGGCTGCTAATGTCCTCTTTCCTGATCTGGATGGTGGCTTCACAGGTGTTTGCCTTGTGAAAATTCATCATGCTGTACCCTTACAATCTGTTCATTTTTCTCTAAATATGTTATACCTTAAAAGCTTGTTGAAAAGTAAATTTAATTAAATAAAAACAAAAACCTCCTTGGGGGTCTTCAGAGCCTAGATAGAGGACAACCGGCTTAGGAAAGCATAAGGTTCTACGTTACTGACCAACCCAGTGCCCACCATCAGAAGCCCCCGTGCCCACCATCAGAAGCCCTGCATGATCTGCAAGCTTTTGCCAGGATGACAAGTACTCACGAGGCTTTGATGAGCAGCCGCTCTCTCTCTTGGAGCTCCCGCTTCAGACTTTCAACTTCCACCTTGAGTTCAATGTTCTTCAAGACAAGATTAGGAAAGAAAAGAAACATTGTAAAATACAGGACCTATGAACATCAACAATGGGGATACCGCTTCCAGCACAGACTGACTATGGCCTGACTATCTGATGCTTGTAATAGGCACTTGAGTTCAATGTTCTTCAAGACAAGATTAGGAAAGAAAAGAAACATTGTAAAATACAGGACCTATGAACATCAACAGTGGGGATACCGCTTCCAGCACAGACTGACTATGGCCTGACTATCTGATGCTTGTAATAGGCAGATGTTAGATTCAAAAACTTCATTAGCCGCAGGGCACAGGGAAAAGGGAATTACTACACACTGGTGGTCTCAAAAGAAGGCCCTGGAGTTCTCAAGACTTGGAACAATTATGTAAATGTTCCAAGCTTTTAACAGCCAGAGCATTCAAATATCAAGGCATAAATGTCATACAAGTGAGGCTGATTTAAAAATTGTTTGCCCTCCGCCAAGCAAATTTACAAGCAGTTCTGCAGTTTGCTTTTACCATTCCAAGGCAATTACTTCTAGTTGTTTACAATCATGCATGTGACGGTTGTAGCAGTGGGAATGTGTTACAGCTTAAAAAAAGTAAAACATGTGGATGGATAAGTGGGAGGTCGCATCATGGCCTCTCATTTCAATATAAGATTTCAGTGTACTCACTCACAAAAAAGCCACAACTGCATGGGACAAGCTGTCTATGAGGGACACCACAGTGCTCGCCAACCATCTTCCTCTTAACTGACTAGAACAAGGGAGTCACACATGGCCTTAGGCTTACAACTCACGTGAGAATCCACAGACAAAATCCTTGGCAAATGGGATGCAATGTGAGACAGTGGAGCAGTGGTGGGTTTCTCAAACTTATCTGCAAATGCATCCCAGATGGAATATTAGTTGAATTCATGTAGTAGGGATGGGGGTCTGGGTGCATAGTTTGCAAAGGATTGCTGTAAATCCAAGATTTGTCTGAAATTTCTCTCTTCTTTTATTTTAACAATTCATACCAATCTTACATTCTACTCTTAACACATGTGCATTAATTTAAATAAAAATAACATTTCCGGGACAGCCTGGTGGCGCACTCGGTAGAGTGCAGCGCTTGGGAGCGCGGCGGCACTACCGCCGAGGGTTCGGATTCCATATAGAGACCGGTCCGCTCACTGGCTGAGCATGGTACAGGAGCGACACCGAGGGTTGCGATCCCGTTGCCAGTCGCGGTACGGGCGCAACACCGAGGGTTGCGATCCTGTTACTGGTCACGAAAAAAAGACAAAAAGGAAAAAAAAATAAAATAAAATAACATTTCCAATAAAATTTACAATCTTGGAAGGACATGCCTCCCTCTCTTTTCTGCCAAGTAGCCCTGGGGCAACAAGTACCTCAGGTTGAGAGTACAGTCAAAATGGAAAAGTCATGGGCATGGGACCAGAAAGACATGGGTTCAAATCCCGCCTCTACTCTTTACTAGGTGACTGTAGTAAGTCAGAGGATGCTCACTCACTCGTTCACTTCACAGACACTTATCAAGCACCTGTGACAGGCCTAGCACTGAGGATACTGGGGTAAACAAGACAGACACAGGCCCTGCTGTAACGCTAACATCGAATACGAATCTGGAAGTGTGACCCTGTAACTGTCCTAAGAAGGACAAGTCCAGGGGGCTAGAAAGCAACGTTTCTCCTTTCAGATCCCTCTAGTGTCAAGTGAAAAACATAAAGCCCACATGACCTAAGGGACATGAGGACTAAACAAGCTAGTAAATGAAAAAAACCTAGGAGTGAGGGCTCAAAATAGGTTATTTTCTTCACTGTCAAACAACAGGGACTAAAGAAGTCATCTATGAGACAGAACTTTTTCTAAAAGAAATTGATCTTTGTATAAAGAACACTAAGTGGCAGTACACAATGTCTTCAACTGTGGTTTTGTGTAAACTGCAGAAACACCCTTCAGATAGAGGATTCCTTTTCTGGCTCTCAGAAGGGCAGACAGCTTCCACGTATGAGCTGATATATTCTTTTTTTTTTTTTTTTTTTTAAA